AAAAAAAAAAAAAAAAAAAAGAAAAAAAAAGAAAAAATAACAAGGAATGTTCAAACAAGTTAGGAAATAGCTGCATGAATTTTGAAAAACCTTCTCAGTTGAAATATCCAGGCCTTTTAACTGACGTTTAATCTGCTGAACCCCTCCATACATTGTAACTCCATAGACAGTAGTCATAACGGTTTGCTTGATTACCTGGAATGTTTAAGTTAAAAAATAAGAGCAATAACAACACACCACTTCCTTGAGGAAAGGAACCACTAAGTATACTTTACGTGGCACAGGTTGTGGCATCGCTTCACGCAAAGCTAACGCAACTTCTCGCACGCTTTGATTAGGGCTTTTCTCGTCATTCAACCTTTTCTGCTCAACTCTAAACAAAATGGCTCAAATTCACCCGCCAAACATCAAGTGCGTTGTTCCGTCATATTAATTATTTAGCGTGAGCTCCCAAAAATTAAGTATTAATTAACTCTAACTCTAAACTAAAATAACCAACAGATGATGGCAAAAATCAACCTTTGCGCAACTCCTGAGTAAACATCAGAAGGCACATCACATGGCAGCAAATTCACTTCTTTCGCTCCTTCAGTATCTCTCCCCAAAGCAGCATAGTGTTGTAATCCATTACAAGTCCCATCCTGATGTACAGGAAAATGACTGATGTATTTTTCATGGTCACCTAGGTGGTAAACTATAAGAAAATAAAGATGAAAACTGGAATTAAGATAGCTCCAGACCTGCAAATATACGTCTCAAAAAGCGATTTAATCAGGACAAATGAAAGTTTGTTAATAATAAGTTTTTTACCATGTTTTAAAGCATTCCGCACTTCTATACATGCAGCAAGAGTCTGCCACGGATCATCAGACTCCATCCACCACTGTTCTCCTGCAGAAATAAAGAACCTCAGGCTAGAAACAAAATTTATCTTAAAAGCTTAACAGCACATCAATATCATAAATATCTAAGAAACTGATTCATGGAAGACCTCCAAGAGGATTATTTGCTGAGTCGAGCATTTTCGGTAACATTTCTTCAGCATATTTTAATCGCGCGTTGATTGACTCTCTCTTTTTTTTACCAGTCAAATTAATGCAGTGTAGTTTCAACCACTGTAATCCTTTTGGTCCCAAGGGCTTCCCTAAACCATGTTCAAGTTAAGGCGGAGAAGGATTACCTACGTTAAAAAACCTAACAACTTTTCTTATTAGATGAGCCTCTAAACCAGTTCAAAATAACTGAATAAAGTTTGAAAAAACCTTTTGCAAAAAGCAAAAGCGAACGATTTATATCGTCACCCATGTGGCTCAAATAAGGGGAAATGGGATAAACACGACCACGAAAGTCCATATTATGAGGAAAGTATAAAATTTCATCTTTCCAAGATTCCGCAACTGCGATCCTATACATCATCCAGTACCACAGTGAATTAAGTTCCCCTCTTAAAATCAACAGTGGTACTTCAGGTTTATGTGCAAAAAAACACCTATTGAAATTCTTTACAAAACAACTACCTTCTCTTAACTGCCTGATATTTCGCTTTAGAAAATTCGATCCATTTTTCCTTAGGAAGATCTTCTACTCTTTTATTACGACCAAACGTCATAACGTAATCGGGGATATCAACAGTATCAGCTCGCAAAGGCACCGACAAGTTGGACAAAAATTTCTCTTTCGAAGCATCTCCACACATATTAAAGACCTTAAACAACTAAGAAACAAAAATAAAGTACAAAAACGCTTAAGCGATAACAAAAAATGCAACCTCTTTCAAAACTGAAAGCGTTTCTTTGTTAATCTTCCAAGGAGTAGTACCCAAATCATTAAGCGCGTCAAATACTGGTCGTGCTTGACTTCTAAACAATGCAAAAATTTCTTCTCTACCTTTCTTTGCACATAAATATTACCGTTTAAAACTTTCGGTGTTACCGAAAAGATTTGTGATTTTTGATAAAGACTATCTACTCAAAATATTTATCCACATACTAGTAAGTCAGCAATTGAGTTTCAATAGCCCTACCCACTTTACAAATATTGGATTTTAAGGTGGCTCAAAAACTTCGCTGCCTGAGGATATTTCTTTAAATATAAAGAAAAATGAAGAAGGAACATTTTTTTAATCTCTAAAGTTTTCAGTCATTTCAGTGTAATATGGTAAAAATAAATGTCTTTTAAGTAACAAATAAATATACCTATTTCGACTAGCGCAAC